GCTCCTCAGTTTGGAAGAGGGAAACAGGAGTCTTGCTTGTGATGAATGTAATCTCAATGACACCAACAAAGGAGGGTCCCTTGAGCCAGCTGTATTTAGGGCAAAACTCTCAAATCAAATAATAAAGTATAATTTGTTTGTTAAAGAATAAAAACTAATGACCAGGTAGGTGGCTGTATTCTTCCACTACTGAGTGAGTCAGCTGGGTTCAGTTTCTATTTCACCATCACCAAAGCCCAAAGGAAAGAATTAACCCAAGAAAAAATGTGAAAGTAAGCACTGGAGTCATATAGAAAGTCTCTAGCAGCCTTGACTTTAATTTTTAGAAGGACTTTTCCATTCTGAGCATTTACCATATGTTTATCTCATTTTTTCTACAAAGTTCTTGTCAACCTTTATATATAGTCATCTGAGCTCTAAGCAAGAAGTTAAAATTAAGAGCTTGTTTTCTAAATGGATTCCCAAATGCTTTTACAAAGCTTGGTAGGTTTAACAAATTTAATAAAAGCAGTCTCCACTTTGCTTCAATAAATGAAGAAGTTGTTCATCTCCTCAGTTAGATAGCAGTTATCCTATCGTTAGTGTTTAGTTTATATTATTACATCATATGTGTTGATAAATGTTTTAAAATATACATTTCAAACACCAGCCTTTAAGATAAAATAAAATAAAAACACTCAAAACCCTTTCTCCATGGATTATAAAGGAATGCTCTTATTTAACTGACAAGCTGCATTTCTAGTACTTCCCCATTTCAATTCCATTGCCAATTAGTATTTTTAAGCCTATGTAATAAATTCTCACAAACTCTGAGCAAAATGTAGGTGTCATTCAGATGTGAAGACCTATTACAAGATTAAAACAGATTTCTAATGCATTTATCATTCATTTTGTAGCATGTGATTTAAAAAAAAAAAAAGATGAATAGCTTGACAGTTCCCATTCATATACACTGAAACATAATACACTTGTACTAGTTTGGGGCTATTATGGACCTTAACATGCAGTGTGACCTTGGTCTGAGAAAACATGTTTGGTTAGCACAGAAACTTAATCATAAGAAGTCATTAGTAGAATCCTTCTTCTTTACAGCCCTTTTCTAGGACTAGGAAATTTATTGCTTGTGGGACAGGTAGGATATGAACAATGGGCCAAATAGAGTCCAGGGTTATCTCATCTGTGTGAAAACTGCTGCTGAAAATCAATGTGACCTCTGCTACACTGTCATCGCAATTCCCACCCTCCGTGTCCTATTTGTCTTTTGGTAGAAGCTTAGATCTGTGTGCCTGTCTCTATGTGTCTCTCTTGGGCCAGATTATCAAAATGAATCATTGCCTGCATACCTCTTATATTTCTATTTATTTTCCTGGTGTTGACTAGGTCTGATGAAATATGATTCTTTTTGCATTTGATCCTCACTGCAGCCAGTAACACCTAATTCAACCATGTCTATCTCTTTAAAGAAGAGTAATACTATTTGAAACTTCAATCTCCTGTACAGCAACACAAACCATAGACCATACAACCTGTCTTCATAGACAATAGTAATTTTCCTTTTAACCAATTTAGTGGCATTTCTTTCATCTCCAAATAGAAAACTTTGGACAATTTTAATGTGGTTATAATTTTGTTTTATGCATACTGAATGTATTGCTTCTTTTTCAGGCATCTTATTTGTAAATACTCCTCAGATTGTTACCACTGAGTTGAATGTGTGTGTAGAGCAATACATAACAAGAAATCCATTAATTCTAAGAATTCTGCCACTAATACAAAATATTTATTCAGGGGAAATATTAAAATCTCCAAATTAGCAGGAAGTGAATGTTCTAAGTTTGTAACAGTTCATTTTTAAAAATAGACCTTCTAGGCTACATAAAATTTTACTTTAAGATTTATAAACATCAATAAAAATGTATAGAACCTCTTCTGTTATTAATTTTGGTAGAGCATATGAAGTCACTCTATCCATTTAATGCACTCATGTGCAAAAGACAAAATACTAGATAATACAGAATTCAAACAGTACAAATAAAGCATAATATCTCCTGGTTAGTTATTGAGAAATGTACTTTAAAAACATTAGATCTGTTGCCTAAGACATATTTTAAGATTTAGGGTGTTTTTGTTGTTGTTTTTTGAGATATTTCAAGTGTTCAAATCTTGCAGTTGAAATAGATCACAAATTTTGTGATAATGTTATCATTTCCTCTGAATTTCTTCACCTCTTACAAAACTGCCATGGACAGAAAAAAAAGAAGGGAGAAAGGAAGGGAGAAATGAAGAAAAGAAGGAAGAAAAAGAAAGATAGAAACGAGACAGAGAGGGAGGGAGAGAGAAAAAGATAGAGAAAAGAGGAAAGAAAAGAAAGGGGGAAAAAGAAGAAAAGATAGAGAGGAAAGGAAGGAGAAATGTTCTATAAAATGTTAGAGTTAATATTATAAGAAAGTTATAGAAAACACTTTCATCACATGTTTATGATTAAAATTTATTATTATTTGTATATTTAAACATCAGCTTTTAAAAATGAATTTATTGGTATGACATTGGTTAACAATCTTACATTGGTTTTAGGTATACAATTATATAATACATCAGAATTTTATTTTTAAGATTTACTATAAAAGCATTCCAAAAATATGTTCATTGTAGCTTCCTGTGTTAAAAGAAAATTAATAGGTTTATTTATGCATTTAATAGAATTAAGACAGATAAACAAATACTCTTTATAACATTTTGGATATAAATAACATGAAGCTTTAGTGAAAATAATTTTGATTCTCTAAAAAGTTGCTGAGCATTTTTATTCTTATAGATTTTAAAACATTGAAAGTTGTAAAGGTGATCTATATTAAAAGCATTTTATTCAAAGATAATGCTATCCCATCTCACAGAAGGCTCCCACAATTCTATGCCACAGCTTCCCAAACAAGAATTCCCATAAAAACCATGTTGACTGTGAAATAAATGGGGTTCAAGACTCTGCACATTACATATATAGAATGCTTACAATTGAAACATGAATTCTAACTGTATGACAAATCTATATTCCCTACAGGAACCAGAACCAATAGCTAGGTTTGTGTTTTCAAACCCTGTGAAAATTGGTTAGTCTGGATACAAGCCTAGTTTTTGGTGTGTGTTTTTTCTTGTATTAGTCTCATAACATATGGAGTTACTGAAAATTCATTTGACTAGAGACAAGCATATTTTCCAAACTTTGCTTATGTCCATTTACTGAAATAAAGAGACTGTAGTGAGTAGAGTAATTTTGTTTGAGCTGCTATGATTCACACCATCATATAATGTTGTTGAGGCTATTTAAGAATACCAGGGTTTGTTTGGTTACATTGCAAGAATGCCTCTTTGAATCAGTTTCCTTTTACATATGTCAAAAAATTCCAATTTCTAATTGCAGAGGAAACTTTGCTATTTGGCTCATACATCTCACATAAAATATTTTCAACCAGAATTCAAGTGGATAGACAAACAGTTGGCTTCTCAAAGTAAGAGGAGATTCCTTTCATAATTTGATATATCTATCCAAAATCATTTTTAAACATCTTATTTTTATCTCTTTATCTGAGATTTAGAGAAAAATCTTATTAAAATAAAGAAAATATGGGAGAAGAAAATAAAATTAAAAGGGGAAAATGATACAACATCTCTTTTTACAAGACTATTTTTTTTCATGAGAAATATTATTGGAAACAAAAGGTAACACTAGAATCTAGCCAAATGTCCATCAACTAGTGAATGATTAAACTAAAAGCAATATGCCAAAACCGGTTTGGCTCAGTGGATAGAGCGTCGGCTTGCGGACTGAAGGGTCCCAGGTTCGATTCCGGTTAAGGGCATGTACCTGGGTTGCGGGCACATCCCCAGTAGGAGATGTGCAGGAGGCAGCTGATCGATGTTTCTCTCTCCTCATTGTTTCTAACTCTCTATCTCTCTCTCTTCCTCTCTGTAAAAAATCAATAAAATATATATATAAAAAAAAAACTAAAAGCAATATATCCATGCAATTGAATCATTGTCAACAATAAAGAAGAAACCAATGACTCATGCTGCAACATGGATGAACCTCAAAACATTATGCTGTACTTTACATCCCTTTGACTCTTTTGTAACTACCAATCTGCACTTCACAACCCCTTCACTTTTTTCACTGTTAAACACACACACACAACACACACACACACACACACACACACACACACACACACACACACACAACATGCTAAGTGGAAGAAGCCATTCACAAAAGACCATGCATTATATGATTCTATTTATGGAAAATATCCAGATAAGGCAACCCTTAAAGTAGATTAGTGGTTGCTAGGAGCCAGGTGTGGGAAGAGAGATGAACTATAAATGAGCATGAAGGGTATTTGGGGTTGCTTGAGATGTTCTAAAATAGATTTGTGGTGATGGTTTCACAAGTCTTTAAATTTACTAAAAAGTCATTGAAGCATACATTTAAAATAGGTGAATTTTATTGTATATAAAATTTTTCTCAATAAAGTTGTTAAAATGAATAGAGATAGATGATGATATAGGTTGACAGATGATAGATAGATAGATAGATAGATAGATGAAAGATAGATAGATGATAGATAGATAGATAGATAGATAGATAGATAGATAGATAGATAGATGAAAGATAGATTTGAAGAGAAACAATTAAAAAGCAGTTTAAAGTCTACCAGGAAATTATCTGATTATTTAATTTATAGGTATTAATAAACATATCTTAAATGTGTTTCTCCAAATATCATTACTCTTTAGCAGTAAATGTTTTATTTGCAATGATTCTTTTCTGAAACACTTATTTTGAGAAATCAGAGGGAGCTGGGGATTATATATGCACAATTTCTAATTAGGAGTTTTTATTTAGTTTTAGAATCAAAATCTTTATAGATGCTATTAAAAGTGAATAAAACTGAACATTTTGAGTTGTTAATTTGTGAATCTTCTGATGTTAATTTTGTATTTTGCAGAAGAGGTACCAGTTCAAATCCCAATGATGAAGTCAACATTGGACAAGATCCAACTCACTCCTGGGCAGGCATTGCCTCCTGGATTCCCTGGACCATTCATTTTTGCTGATAGTTTGTCTTCTGTGGAAACTCTGTTGACCAACATTCAGGTCAACAATATTTCTATAAACAAAATAAATGTAATACAAGACATTAGCACCTACATATATTATGTCATATTTGAGAACTAAAACATATAAGATGAACCGCATTCCATTTGCTGTACTTTGACAGGGTCTACTGAAAGTGGCTTTGGATAATGCTCGCATCCAGGAGAAGCAGATTCAACAAGAAAAAAAGGAACTGCGAATGGAGCTCTATAGAGAAAGAGAAATTAGAGAAAACATTGAAAGACAACTCGCAGTAGAGCTTCAAAGCAGAAGTAAGTTTAACAAGATCAATTATGGAGAGAATACTGTGTTGGTGATATTTTCAATAGTAATATAAATATTTTTAGGGATAGCTTAGAAATGCTGAAAACAAATGCAAGCTAGGAATCAAATACTGTTTGTAATCTACAAGGTAAGATATTTAGTCTATATTTTCATAATAAAAACAATGAATTAGATATGCATTTCATTCCAGTTGCAGATTTGGAACCATGAATATTCCTAGTTTTCTCTACAATTTTATAAAATACACCTACCTGTATGTAGATAATCTAACAAATCTAGATTCTGGGGTTATAAGTTAAATAAAACTCAGTTCCTGTCCTTGAGAGATTTACATTTTAGAGGGCTAGCACAACCAACCAGTTAATTTCAAGAAAAAGTGTCAAGAGCAATGAAGTACAGTATATATGGTTATGTAGAGAGAGGCTAGTAAGTATAGCTTGGTGGTGGTGAGTGGGTAGATAGTTGAGGAAAACTTCCTGATGCTCACATGTGAACCTGTATCTTGAAGATTCAGTAAGCTACAAAAGGGCATGAGAGTTCCTGAGTTATTTTAACATTCTAGACCAGGGGTGAAGAACCCTTTTTCTGCCAAGGGCCATTTGGATATTTTTTTAAAATATATTTTCATTGATTTCAGAGAGGAAGAGAGAGGTAGAAAGAGAGAGAAACATCAATGATGAGAGAGAATCATTGATTGGCTGCCTTCTGCACGCCCCCCAATGTGGATCAAGCCCACAATCTGGGCATGTGCACTGACTAGGAATTGAACCTCAGCCTTCTGGTTCATAGGTCAATGCTCAACCACTGAGCCATGCCAATTGGGATATTTCTGGGTAACTTTTTATTTCTTTGATCTCTTTCTTAACACACCCGCTGTTTAAAAACATGTTATTTAGTCTCCATGTGTTTGAATGATTTTTAGTTCTT